TGCTACCGAAATATTTCGCTGTTACAATGCTTAGTTTATTTCGTAAAGGAAGTGAAAGTTATTAAGTGTTTGGAAAAGCTTTTTAAAATAAATATACTACTAAGACATTTTTAAGTATGTCATTCAGCGTTTTATAATATAAAGATTACCGATTATTCTTTTAATACTTTTTTCTTTTAATATAATTTGAAAATCTTCAATTAAAAAATTCGCAATTTTTGAAGATTTGGAAAAAAAAATGATAACCTTTAAGAAATAAATGTTTCAAACCGATATTGAAAGAAGGGAATTAAAAATAATATTCTAATGTAACATATATTCCAAGCTCATTTGATGTAAGTTAAATAATAGTAGTAGTAGCAACGGAGGATGTGAGCACCATCCCTCTAGCATTACGCTTAATCGGTTCTGCTCGCGTCCGCCTTTGTATAGTATTTAATGTTAATCCTTGAATTTTTACATGCCCATATTATGGCTGATTTACAGATAAATTCTTAACAGTAACATAACTTATTACATAAAATTTGGTTGGAGACTTTTCTCTACACATAATAATATAAATTTTGTTAATACATGCTAATGTTAAAATATACACTAAATAAATAAATAAATACATAATAATAGTAGAAATATACGATAGTTCAATGTAACTAATTCTACTAATACAGTTTCTGTTTCCAAATGCTTCCTGAGTTCCGAATTATCTTCTGTCATTTAGTATTGAAACAGACATTCATAACGACATCTCTTTGATTTTTTTGCAAATTCGTAAAGTATTTCAATTTCAATTTTTTATATCTTTATAGCTTGTTCATTTTTTTCAGAGTTTAGCCCCTTCTCTTGTCCTTACTTCAAACAAATCTTTTTGTAATTTCTCTTTGTTTCTAAGCTGTCTACATATTTCTTCTTTATCATGAAGTTTCTCTTTTGTTACTTACTCTATTTCAACTGGAATGCTGTCTAAGTCTTCTCTTAAAATTGCTTTCATTTTGCTGCAGTTCATTCATGAGTTTCTCAGTTTCAAGTTTTCAATTTTTTCCTTATCTCATAACTTATATATTGTGCTAATGTCTTCCAGAACAGTACTTTTTCTTTACAAAGTTTTTCGTCTTTTCCTTTTGCATATCACTGAATCCTATCTCTGCATGAATTTTTAACTTCCATTTCCAATTCTTTCTTTAGTTTTTCAATTATGCTTATCAGAAGACATCTCCTGCAAAGACTACAATTCTTCTTTCAAGTGCTCCATTTTCTGATTAAAATCATCTATCTGTTTAATTTCCTTTTAAGCGACAAAAATTCCATAGATGTAGGCTCTGATCCACTGAAGCTGTTACTCCAACATCAGCAAAAGTTTGCAGCTTAAATAAATCTTACGCAATTTTTTCAAGAGAAGAAATTACAGTGACTTTGTGATTAATTTTTAATTGCAAAGCTCACATACAGGTTTGGGCTTCGTGTAACTTATAAAGAAGCCTTTTATTGCTTTCCAATTGCTTTTTTATCATTTTTCATTCAACATTTTACCATTCTGAGATTTTTCAGGATCACCAAGTTGGCTCTTTAACAAGTCACACCGCTCTTTCAGCACAGCACATGGATTTCATCCAGAAATGCTTCTTTTTCCTTCTTTAAGTGAGCCACTTTGTTTCATTCAATGGAAAGCTCTCTTTTAATTAAATCTTTGTTTCCTTTTAATTCACGATTCAAATCTTCTAATTTTAGTTTCTCCACCTCCAGTTTTCGAGTCAAACTTTCTGTCATTACAAGTTCCATATGCGCAGCATCTCGCCCCTGACTTTCTTCTTGCAATCCTTGGGATAGCTCTTCATTTCGTTTCAACAGCATTTTAAATCCTGATTTTATTGATTCTCTGGGGCCGAATAAAAGGATTTAACATATAATAAACTGATAAATGAAATATTTTGCTTGTATCTAATACTACATATTCTCCTTCCATTTCTATATCATATATGCCAACAACAGAAAACAAATCCCAGGCTCTAGGTGTGAGATCCGGACCATCCTCAGTCAGTTCAAGATTTGGGCATTCACCAAGACTAAGAGATGTAAAAATCTTCTTTAGAACCAACACTTTGTCATGTTTCATCCTCATGCTGTTGCATATTCCCAGCAAAAGAGGATATAAGACCCTGTTCTAAAAGATGAGTGTCGATATCATTTTCAATATCTAGAAATATTTTGACTAAGTCTGATGGCACACGAAGTAAGCGAGAATTAGTCTAAGCAGCATGCACCTGCCAAAACCTACTATCAGTAGATGAAATCTGGCAACCCATTATACCCTCCTTCACAGCTAAGCTAGCTGGGATTCCTTATCAACAAACTCCTTTTCTTTTGCAGGAAGCTGCATTTCGATATCCTCTTTATGGTGCCGTAGTTCGTGTACTTGTTTCCGAAGACCTTTTCATTCCTGATAAAGTTGCCTATTGACATCTTTATACATAGAAATATTTTCTGAAATTCTTCTTGTAGTTTATTGATTTCTGAATAGATCATCTGCTTATCATCAGAATCAATTGAAACTTCAGAAACAGATCTACTAAACATTTGCTCACCACCTTCCATTTGATCGAAGTTCTGTTCCTCAGTCATATTAGACTTTTAGTATCGTTTCCTCTGTCTACAAGATCAGACAGAGACGATCTTTCTTCTAGATATTCTACATCATCTGATCTCTTACTGGCCTTGCTCATAAAGTAATTCTGATACAAAAATTCAACAAGTCCACTTTCTAATCTATTATTGAAGTCATCAAAAATATCAAATTCACTAAAGTCTTTATCACTATTAAAAGATTTTAAACTACTATTTAACATTTATTGCTTATGAATATTAATCTTTGCCCTTAGTTGATTGCATAATATAATTAAAGCTTTGGCATTCTTTTTTAATATTGTTTCATATTTATGTTTTGGTTTTGAAAAAGGTGTAAGTTAAATGAAACAACTTCCAATAAAATGGTAACGAAAGATGATTTAGCTTTCCTAATTAAATTAATTCCATGGATCACCTTCGTTTAATATCCGCGTGCTTTTCCTCGATGAAGTACAGGTGTTTTTCTCCAGGGTAATAACATATGGAAATCTAGAGTACCTGCATTTCGTATAGATGCAGTAGGTGGAACAGCGATTTAATATATTTGGAAAGCTTGAGGGTACATTTACGAAAGGATTCGTATTTTATGAAATATTCTGACGAATATTTCGCATTAACAGCCAATGACCTCTTTACAATATTATATTGTATTGGCTGATATCCTGGTATTATTAAATCCACTATGTATTTATATTTAACTTCGCATCGTTCGTGTTGATATAACAAAAATGTAAAGCGCAAGTTATGAATTAAAATTTAGTCATGTAATTGGTACAACAGTAGGTAATATATTATCAAATATGTAATTTAAAGGCCAAAAGGAGATTAGTAAAGCCACTAACCATCGGAATAAATCTAAATTTTGAAGAAAAAATACTGTTATTTTAATGAATACATTTCATTGATCTAATTAATAATTTAGTTAGCTTAAGATGGACATATTTAAAATATCAAATAATGAAAGCAGGTTTAACAAAATAATCCTCCCCAACTATCTGCCATACATTAAATATTAGTAAGCTTATAAAGGTTATTTTAACAGATGTAGACCTTTATCATAATGTTAATGATGTAACCAGACAGATATTGATATTGGTAGGAGTTTTGTATAATGTAACATGAACTGCTTCAGAAAAAGTGAAGCTTTCCATAAAAATAACATTACAGGGAAAATTCTATTTAACATTGAGGTTAAATGGCTATCTCGCCAAATTTTGCCCAAACTGGCGATGGATTTTGCGAATATTTTTATCGCTAAATTTGGCGAGAAATCTCAAAATGCCACCAAACTTGGCGATCATTTGGCAACATTTTTGTCAAGTCAATATATAACTGTAATTGGTACGGCAACTGAATAGCTGCAATTGATCCCTAAAAAATATGTAACTATAATCGTATACTGTAAGTGTATATGCCTTCCAGCAGTTTCGAGAAATCGAAGGTACTGGAAATTTCTCATCGGCCGGGGAACAACTATATAACACCGAAGAGAGCATCAGTTCTCACTTTTTAGTTCAGAGTTGACTTTGGAGTATTGAGAGATCTTAGTGCGAGCTTCCTTCTTTAAATGAGATTTGCATTGCGTTGTGTTTAATGTTCTTAGTAGTTTGAAGTGACAACCACTGATTGGGTTTTTGTTAGCCCAAAAGGAACATTAGTTCCGAATGGTATATTTTTATATGTTTAATAAATAAAGAAACACACTAAGGGTTAAATAAAGATAAAAGAAGTTTTGTAAAGCCATCTTAGTAAAAAAATCTGAACACTGATATGATAAAATGAGAAAAATTGGAAAAAACAAAATATATGTCAACATTTAGCGCTGCATACGGAGTTCTAAACGTATATTGCTATGCTGCTTTTAAAATTTTTGTAATTTTGATGTTAAATTGTATATGGTGTAAGTTCGAATGAAACGATGCTTAATAAAAGCTAAAAAGACAAAGAAAAAAAAATGCGTTAGTAGGAGTGAGTGTAATAGCAGACTGGTAGACTGCACGCTCAGCGAGAGCGTAAAAAACCATAACAAACCATTTTGGGCGACTGTTAAAATCTGAAACCTTTCAGATTTTTTACTTTAATCATTCATTTGCATCAGAAAACATGTTGTACCTTTATATATTATTCAAAATCCTATATACAATTGTTTTTGACCACCATTAAAAATATGAAATAAACTTATTTATAAGCCCTCCCAATAAAACATTCTTATACAAAAGTTTATTCAGAAGAATAAATATGTATAAACATTAATTTTAGACTTTTCAGAAATTAAAATGTTCCTCACATTTTTACACAATATTCACGAATATTTAAAGAACAAAATATCAATACTGCATTCATAAATATGAATTAAATATCTGCATTTTAAACGTACTTACATCTGCATTCATGAAGCAATACAAAACAGATACGAAAAGACCCTGAAAATATAAAAGAGGTACATATTATTATCAAATAATACAAAAGGCATGTGAAATAGTTACTTGTTGTTCTTCATGTCTTTAATTTCATTATAAAATGACTTAAATTCTCAAATCCTTGAATTTAAAGCTTTGTTCTGAAACCATTAAATTCAGCATCATTTATTTACAGATTTTCAAAAATGTAAAATGATTTGCATGAACATTTATACACATGTAGTAAATCTGGCATAAGCATATTTTGTGAAAAAAAAAAAAAAAAACAAGTTCTTGAAGAAACAACTTCTTGATGAAAAGGTATCAAAAGCATTTGATACCTTTTCATCAAGAACAATAACCTACTACTGTAGAGTCAAATATGAATAGATATAGGTATTTATCAGGGAAGAACATGAACTTTTTTTAACATGTAACAAACCCTTTTGCAGAAGACTACGATATAAGCTGTTTTCTTTGTCTAGTTCTCCTGCACTAATTGTTAAATTATAGCAATTAACAATGTTTTCTCATAGTTGTTTAAAATACGATCATATGAAAGATGTTTCAATCACCAGCATTAACTGAATAGAATTAAAGAAATGTTGTTTCAAGAAGCAGTTTCGTAAACAAACGCTACAAAATCTATACTATTATCATTCTAGCTAAAAGCTTAAAATGTTGAGCTGAAAACTGGATCTGGTACATACCTACTTGTTTCGGAAAAACTTGAAATATTTTCGACGCAAACAAATGCCTACTATTTAAATCCCTTTTAGTGCTTGGATTATGAAATTCGAAATATGTTATTTTCAACATTTTCACAATTGTTATGGCATTATTTGCTTTTCATAAAAAATTGTATTATTATAACTCAGATTGAAAATTATGAAAGTTTTATAAAACTGCGGGTTCATGAAGTAGTCCGAAAATTAAATCCCTGTATTTATTTATTTAGTACATTTAGTTTATTTCATAGTATTATGAAATTCTTAATAGTGTCCATCTTCATAGAATATGGAAGGGCCTTTTAAATTTCAAAATAAAATTGACGAAATAATGCTGTAAGGATTTATTTTATTCCAACCAATTATTTTTAGTTTGATTTTTCTGTCCCTCCGGATTTCAGTTTCCTGCTGGAATGTAAATTTTGTTATAACGTAGTATTCAAATTTAAATGTATTTCAGAAGCAGTATTTAAGCTGCCTCTCAAAATGAGTAGTAGCGGATTTCAAAATTAAAAGCATTTGTTAGGATTAAGCTGCATTTCAAAATGAGTAGTAGCGGACGTAGTTCGGAAGTTTATGCTACGAGTTTGAATCTAGCTTTCTAGTCTGCGTTCGACACTTTCAGTTTACACTGGTATTTCTCGGCTCGGCTTTGCTGCGTGCAGCTGATTTACCTTAGCTAACCTAAGAGCCAGTCGTTAGCTATCTTACGTTAATGTGCATTTTGTATTCATATTACTTCCTTGTACGAAGTAAAAAGGAAGTATTATAATCGCGAAAATTTTCAGGCATCATATTTCAACGAAAATATCCATTTTAACCGCTATCGATTGCAATTTAACGATGTTTTTGCGTGACATCTGTACCTAAGGGCAGAATAAAAGACTCTTTTCCACCCAAAAAATTATAAAACTGATTTAAAATTAATTCTGAAGAGAATTTTTCGTGGCGTTTGTACGCACGTACGTATGTACGTATCTCGCATAATTCAAAAGCGAGTAACATCAGAACGTTGAAATTTTGTATATAAGACTGCTACAACATGTAGATGTGCACCTCGTATTTTGCTTGCAATCGGCCGCACCAAACGTCCACTCTGTTAACCGGCTGTTTTCTCAGTTTCTTTACTCTTATATGTAAGTTGTGCATTTGTTTGCTTTAAAAATGATTGAATTATGTTGTTCTTATCTTCCAGTTAAGGGTTTTATGCCTTTAGTAAATCTGCACGCAATATTTGTAGAGTTATCAACAGTTTAAAAGTTGTAAAAGTGCAGCTAAGCTTAATGAATTTTGCGATGGCGGACATGTTTGTTTACATTTTAAACTTGGCAAAATAGCGGATTTGTTGCCAATTTAGAGAAACTAAGCTTCGCAACAACAAAGATAACGCCTTCTTTTATTATTTGCGAATTAAATAATGTTTAATCCATTCTGGAATTTATTAGAGGAAACAGGCGTTTAAGATTTATTTCGTAATTTTTAATACAGATATTTTAAGTTTTTATGCATTTTGGCCTTATCGGGAAGTGAGAACTCAATTAAGTGAATGAGAAATACTGAATCGTTCGTGAAAAATTGTTTCGTTTTTGCTTTGTTTGCTTAATTTTTTCATACATCGTTTTAGATTTATTATAGTATTTGAATAGGACATGTGGCAACGATTAGATAATTCTTCAAATGATATAAATTTTGTGCATTCTGAGTTATAATATGAACGAAATGTAACGCTGTTAAGTGAAGGTAGCGCCAGATTGTCACTTTTTAGCTTTGCTTCTCCGTTTTCGTTTCCTGCCAGAATGCAGATTTTAGCTCGCGTGGATTTAAATGAGGTTTTGAAGTATTGTTTCACTCAGTGCGTGTTCCGCCTGTTGAAGGCCATAGTAGTAGTTGATGTTCTGCGCTAGCGTTCATGTCTACGGCGTTGTATTAACCTTGCAAATTTTGCTGTTATGCCGGTGTAGGTTTGAGCCAACTCGCTCGCTAATTATTTCCGTGTAACCTTTGGATAATTAACGACTTAGATTTAATTTAAATGTGAACTCCTTACCTTTTGAGCTGCACCATAAATAGCTAGTTTTCGTAAGCACAAGGAGTACCTTCTGTTCAACATATTTGAATTCTTAATAAAAGGGTCTTTTAAACCCTTAATACGTTTCCTTTTGATTATATAAATATGGCGATAAGTTGCTTAGCTCTACATAGGAGTTGATTAAGAATAAGTTCACAAAAACCAAGCGGACTGAATCATTTATTTACAGGGGTTGGACAAAAATATGGAAACACCTTTAAAAAAACATGTTTCTTTGCTTAATATGGTGTAGGAAACCCGTTGGCATCCAAAGCAGCTTGCAGTCTTCTCGGAATGGATAAATACAGTTCCTATATGTTTGCCAAGGGAATATTATACCATTCTTCCTGCAAAACGGTGGCAAGTTCAGATAACGATGTTGGCGGTGGATAACGAGAACGCACTTTCCGTTCCAATGTAGACCACAAAGGTTCGATGATATTCAGGTCTGGTGACTGTGGTGGCCAGGGGAGATGGGACAACTCATCCTCGTGCTCAGAAAACCAGTCCTGGACAATATGAGCTGTGTGAACAGGGGCTTTGTCGTCTTGGAAGACACCATCACCATCGGGGAACAAAGTTTGTACCATGGGATGAACTTGATCGGCCAAATTGTTCACATAAGTCTTGGCAGTCATGTGCCCTGACACAGTTATCATGGGGCTAGCAGAGAACCACGATATGGCTTCCCAAACCATAACAGAACCCCCGCCATGTTTCACTCTTGGCAACAAGCAGTCTGTATTATAGGCTTGAGATGGCGTTCTCTAGACGTAAACTCGGACAGAAGTGGGAAACAATGTGAAAGAAGACTCGTCAGACCATATTACTCGCTTCCACTGCTCTATAGTCCAGGCTTTATGACTTAAACACCACCTTTTCCTGTTACGGGCATTAGCATCACTGATGAGTGGCTTCTCAATTGCAGCACGGCCAGCAATTCCCTGTTTATGAAACTCCCTTCTAATTGTTTTGGTACTCACAGGGTTCGGTAACACAACATTCCTTTCAGCAGTAACTTTTGCAGCTGTGGGCTTCTTATTTTTCGTCACAATTGCCCTTAATGATCGTCTGTCACGATCACTCAGGACACACTTTCGTCCGCGCTGTGATTTAGCAGATGATGTTTTCCGCTTTTCAAATATGCGGAATAAATCTTCGATACAGTACCTCTAGAAACACTAAACACCTCGGCTGCCTTGCTTACGGAAGCACCTACCATACGTGCTCCTACAATTTGCCCACGTTCGAAGTCTGTTAACTCTGACATAATGCAATGACAACCTCACATAACAGTACTCCGACAACAACTGAACTGTTTAGCACATTTACGAAGTTGTATAGGTGGCGTCAGTAGTCAAAAACGCCAACGACACCTACATATTTCATTAAAATCAATCTTTCTTTTCAAACATGCATTTCACAAGGTGTTTCCATATTTTTGTCCATCCACTGTATTTTACTTAACACTTTGAAATAGAAGAAATGCCGTCCACGTGACGACACAGCTTTTGATGCACACATCACTGAAAGCACTGCAGCTATTAAAAAAGGAATAGAATACATAAATCACATACTTGAAAGGTTCGTTACTATAGCAACCATAATTGAATCATGAGGCAGTAGCGTCATCTGTTGTTGCAAAGACACACTAGAAATTTGTTTGGTAACAAAAAATACTAAACAGGAGTCTTGATTTAATGTATGTTATCAAAAGAAGTGAGACTGCACAACTTGATAGATCACATGAATAATAAATGGCATAGTGACCAAATGTAATAAGTTGGAATCTCTGATATTACATGAAGATCAAAATCGATATTCCGCTATATATCAGATATCTCCGATATTCTGAAGTCAAAAACTAGCATCTCAATAAAAGATTTTTAAATCTCGGCATGAATTTCATCGAAAACTTAATAAAATTAATTATAATAAAATCCAGATTATAAGATTTATTTCCAAATAAATCTTATAATCTGGATTTTATTATAATACTGAAAGGGACATGAAGAACTCTGATATAAGATGAGCAAAATAGTTGCTCACCAAATTTTTCAGAGGTTATTAGCAAAATATTTTGTAATTCACCTAAAATACAGAAGTTCGTTCTATCGATGATTTTTAATAACGATTATGATGAACCATGAATATAAATTATAAAATTATGTAGATCAGACTTTAAATGGAATCTATGATATATTTCATTTTCGTATAAAAGAGTTTAA